GCTATAACTCATTTCCATTATCTTAAAAAAATATATATTCGACCAATTTACCCTGAGATGTAGCATCATTTTTTAAAAAATGTTACTATCTGAACTTTTGTACGTATGAATATGATTTTGTAGTAACACACAATACATCTTCAAGATTAAGTTGCTGAGACGACGTACATTACAAAACATCAAAATTGATGCCGCAGGGACATACACCCATACAAAAATACAGTTCTTATATCTGAAAAGGGCTTCTCAACTTTCTTCAGTGAAAAGCAAGCAGGGTGTACTTGTCTATTTGGGCACCAACCCACATCATGCAATATGTGGGGGCGAAAGGCACTGGTGTCACGCCTCAATCTAATGTGTTGTTATATATCAACTAAGACATGTAAGTAGCTTAAACATCGTATATATATTTATGCTTTATTGCTTCCTTCTGTTCTCAGCTTTCTTTTCCTTTCCATTAATTCCATCTCTGTCATGCTTCGTCCGGACGGTGTGCCGTCCATTTCTTTTTATTTATGACAGTCTTTGCATTATTTATGCATTACCCAGATTTTTAGGTGATTTTCTGGTGGTTATTTTTTTGCTTGTACTGAACCGGTTTGGAGTGTTTCAAATCATACCAGCATTAAGTGGAACTTAGATTGGTCAAGCAATAGCAGGGAGTGAATGTGAATCATCGGACTTCCATTGTTGTGACCTGGTTATAGCCGACATTACCGTCGGCAAATTACCTGAATGCTGATGGTAAAAAGCCAAAGGTACACAGTACACTCTTGATCACATATTTCGATATCGCCGATGCACTACTACACGATTGATTTTTCCTAGACGCTGCCCCTTTAGTTTCCATGCGGTTCGTAAGTGGAACCGCACGGAAAAATATGGGACCGGCGTCGGGTTGTTGCCCGCACGGGATTTCCCGTGCGGTCCTCTTAAATGAACTGCACGGAAAAATAAGCCGATTTTTCCATACGGGCCTATTAAGAGAGCCGCACGCAAAAATAATCATTCCTCTTTTCCCTCCTACCCACTTCAAAATTTTCCCTTTTTCCACGCCTCGGTCCCCTCCCTCTCCTTTATTCTCTCACACATTAAGTGCTCTCTCTCTCCTATTCTCTCCTCATGCGTCACGCGCGCCTCTCCTATCCTCTCCTCACTCCTCTCTCCTCTCCTCCCGCGGCGACAGAGACGACGGCACGCGACGGGTGTAGGCGAGGGCGGCGGCCCGTGGCGACGGCGACGACGGCGCGTGGCGGGCGTAGGCGACGGCGGCTGCCCGCGGCGACGGGGACGATGGCGCGCAGCGGCAGCGCGGCGGCCGTGGAGGCGCAGGATACGGTGGGCGGTTGCGACGACGAGGTGGCGTGCGACGGCGGCGGCGCCTCCAACCGATGGAGGCCCCCCCCCACGCGGATCCGGTGGCGTGACGGTGGCGGCGGCCGCCCCCCGCATGGATCCGGCGGCGGTGCGGCCACCCCCCTGCGTGGATCCTGCGGCATCTGGCCCTGGTGGGGTCGGCCGAGTCCCAATAACTTAAGGTTCCCCGGACCGCAACAGTTCATAGGCACACCCACTCAGGGAAAGGCCTAATCTCACACCCACTCAGGGAAAGGCCCAATCTCCCTAAAAGACTAGTCCAACAGGGGAAGGGTGGCTCTCCCTTTTAAGGACTCCCTAAAAGACTAGTCCAATAGAGAAAGGGTGGCTCTCCCTTTTAAGGTGGTTTCCTCCTCCCAAGCTAAGCAAGGTGGGATTATTCAAAGGCTCACACGGTCGCCGCCCGACTTTGGCGTCTTTGCCAGCAGATAATAGTGGAGGATGTCCTCATCATTCCCACCCCCTTCACAAGGGCCCTGCTCTGATACCAAATGATAACAATTTGGCCCAGGTAGGGTCAGCCGAGGCCCAATAACTTAAGGTTGCCTGGACCCCAACAGTTCTTTAGGCACACCCACTAAGGGAAAGGCCCAATCTCCCTGAAAGACTAGTCCAATAGGGGAAGGGTGGCTCTCCCTTTTAAGGTGGCTTCCTCCTCCCAAGCTAAGCAAGGTGGGATTATTCAAAGTCTCACACGGTCGCCGCCCGACTTTGGCGTCTTTGCCAGCGGGCAATAGTAGAGGATGTCGTCATCACGCACGATCCGGTGACGGTGACGGGAGCGGGCGGCGGATCCGGCCACGGCGATGGCGACAAAGACGACGGTGACGGCGATGACGATGGGAAGGCGGTGACGGCTAGTGTTAGGGTTTCATTTTTTCATTTTTTTTTGATTTTTTATTTTTGCATGTGGGCGACAAAAGCACCAGCACGCGAAAATCCGATTTTCGCGTGCAATTGCACCGCACGCACGCACAGATAGCGATTTTCGCAGACGAATTGCTCCAGACGGGCTGAAGCTCTGCACGTGAAAATATGTTCGACCGCACTTGAAAACATTTTGTGTAGTAGTGATGGTGACAAGGGTAAATTTTAGATTCTATTAGTAATTGGATATCGCACGAGTGCAAAGCATATATATAAGCAAACACCGGTAGAAGAATGGTCGATCTGCAACCTTTATCCTCAGCATATATAGAGGAAAGCATATTAAAATGTTGTGGGTGGTCTGAGGAAAAAAATCCTGAGGAAATATGAGATAAATGATTTTTTTCCTCTCACCACCCACAACATTTTAGATTAATTTAAAATTGTGGCACATTGAAATATTTTGGACTCAATGTTGTTGGTTTTTTTATTAAAATTGTGACCACTGTATTCTAAAGAGAACACCAGAGGATGCACATGACATGTTCTCCTTGCAAAAAAATGCTTATCTTCTTGAGAAAAGGTGCTATAGGTCACCTTCCCATATATTCTCTCTATTTTTAATATATGCCACCATTAACTTTGACGTGACGTTTGGTTATTCATCGTACTAAAAAATTTATATAAATGTTTTATTTTGTTGTAACTTGTTTTATAGAAACTCTAAACTTAATTAACTTATATTTTTATATATTTACATTAAAGTTTTAGAACGTTACATGAAAAGTTAATGGTACCATATAAAAAAACAGAGGTAGTACTTATATCGGATGGCGAGATAAAGAGCTAGCTAGCTAGATCTAACTACTAAGTGATGATATATTCCAACCAATTCCCAATGGACCAGGAAATGGATGCAGCTAGCCATTCTGACGCATCACCACGTACACCACAAACTCACATGAAGAGATCAGAAAAAATTGTGGCTGTTTTTGCTAGAGGGAAGGGTAGCTTCAGCATCCCAAAGCATAGCCCAACCGCTCTGCATGACCTCAAAGTGAAAGCAATAACACAACCAACATAAAGGAAAGAAAATGCAACTCATGTTTATCCGGAAGTGGTCGATCAAATGTCAAAGAGATATATATATATATATATATATAAAGTGCCTGTAATATCATGAATCGTCATATATTCAAATGGTACGATGTACCAGTTGTGAATTAATGATGAAGTATATATTAATTACAATTCGGTATCCATCGGCTAATAGGTTAAGTTGTTATTAATCCCATGACAGATCGAGTTGTTGTATGCTTGCTTTAATATTTTTATCCAAGATTAGTTTAGCCCCTCCAAGTACAAAGTACAGAGCAACGATACTACCCTTTAACAACGGAAATTATATAGTAGAAACATAAAAACTACTACCATAAGATAAAAAATACACGTCTGAGATTAATTTGTCCACATGACCATGAGTAAAATTAAAGTTTTACTAGGGGTAAAGTTTTACATATGGTGAGGTGGACAAATATCATATGTTCATTTTTATCATATAGCCGGTAGTTTATACGTTTCCAGTACATATTTTCGTATTTTGTAGTAGGTATAATTCTTCTGAAATCCGTATTGTAGGCATGTTGATTCAAGAGGGGTGTAATTAATAAATCTTCTTCCGTTGCTCATTTGCGATCTATTAGCTTAATTATATAATTGTCTAAGTTTTTTTTCTGGTATGTGAAACTACGGTAAATATCATCATTTTCCTTTTTCTTGATAATATGCCAAATAAACTTTTTCTTATTTATAAACAAAATTTTCCATAATGTCTATCTCCTAATTATTGGAGGTGGACTCTGAGGGCAGATATACCAACACATATTCAAGCCCTACATAGGACCAACTGGACGTCGTTTTGGCTTAGACAGTACAACACAAATCTTGGAGGAATTATCTTTTAGATCATGACAGGTTTCAACAATATCAAAGTGTCTCACGGATTTGGACCCTACTAGCTTGCAGGGTAAAATAAGACTAAATTTCATCATATAGGTAGACAAGACAAGAACTGGTGACTTAATTATTCGGTTAGCCAAACGTGTCACAACTAACGGCAAAGAAGTTCAGGCGGCTGTTCATGTTATTGTTTACTACTAACGGCAAAGAAGTTCAGAGTAGTATAATTGCTCGTAGCACACAGCCATACAAACACTAATCTACCCATGCTATTCTGGCTGCTATCTGCTCTGCATCCTCCTGCTTTATCCATTAGGTATTTATATTATTGTTGTTAGGCGTGGTAATTGATTACTAGTTAGTGTGAAAGTGGATGAAGTACGGTGCTCCTACCTGTCATGATGGGGTGCCAGATTTACTATTAGAGATATTTAGAGGAGCATATATATAAGTGTGTTAAAATTGAATCATTATACGAAATAGGATGTGTGCGTGCAGTTTGTCATGTAAAAATTTACTTGTAGTCATAGAACAGTAGAAGTATTTCTAAACTGTACATCGCGATAATTAAGTTGCATGGAGTACGTAGCATGTTCATCTCTAAAAAGCTTAAATTATGCTTAAGCTCGCAGTTAACAGATAAATCAATTGTACTAATTCGATATATCATATATATACACCTTACATGAGTGTACTGTTCAGGTACTAAGGTGCGCAAGAAGTGGAGGATTCGAATTTATTTCAAGGTAAACGGATCAGCGGTCCACTTAAAGTCTTTTATTGAACTAAGCCAATAGATGGATGGAATGGTCAGTTATGTACATCTTGTCGAAACAAAATACTCCCTCCGTATATGAAAAAAACGTCGTTCTAGCCATAACCTCGTTTGCGATTTAAACGACGTTCTGAACCGCAGCAGGCTATGTGGACGGAATTACCCTTGTCTGTTCGATAGCCGCTCCCGCAATTAATCCGCAGCACGCCCGCGCTCGCCTCGTTTAATTCCTTAAGCGTCGCATGCAGGCATGCAGCACGCCGCTCAACCTCGCCGCTCACGCTCGCCGCCGCCGCTTGCGTCGCGCTCGCCGGCCCTGCTCTTGTCGCTCTCGCCGCCGCCGCCGCCGCCGCTTTCGTCGCGCTCGCCGGCCGCACTCTCGTCACGCTCGCCGCCGCTGCTCTCGTCGCACTCGCCACCGCCGCCGCTTGCGTCGTGCTCGCCGGCCCCGCTCTCGTCGCTTACGTCGCGCTCACCGGCCGTGCTCTCTCACGCTCGACACCGCCGCCGCCGCTCGCATTGTGCTCAAGATGCTTGACGAGAAGCGCGAACGTGAGCTCACTCCCAGGAAGGATGATGCCAAAGAAATGGTAAGATAACACAACTTAATAATCGCATTACAAGGATGTCTCTATTAATTGAGTGCGGAAGCTAACTAGCTTCATTCTAAATGTTCGATGCAGCAAGAGTAGCCTTGGCTTCATCTAGGAAAGATGGTTGACAAACTGATCTGCAACAACTCTTGTATCTTTCTTGCCTAGTTTCCTATTCTTGCTTCTAGCCAACAAAGCTTGATAAACTTGTTTTCTCACTTCTTCGGTCATGTCTTTCCTTCCTTCGATGGTTTACTTCAACGGGAGCCACGACATGTTCTAGCAAAAGGAAGAAAATCAAGTTCATTGATAGTACAAATAACCATGGCATGTTCTAGCAAAATCTAATTGTATCAAAAAGCAAGTTGGCTTACCAGCAAGGTGTTGTACATAATCGAAATCGACTGCACCAAATTCATTTAGTGGCAAGTTCAAATCAAAACCAGTTAAAAAAAAAGGAAAACAATGATATGAGAAACGATAGAGAAGAAGAGATAGTACAGTTGCCGTACAAACATGCACGAGAGAAGAAAAATCCTGTCAAACAGAGAAGAAAAGTACCATTGCCGTGCTCCAACGGAGGCTCGTTCAGATCAAAGGCAAACTCGCCATCGCCATCTTCGGCCATGTGTACTGCAATAGTGAGAGAAAGCTAGCTAGAAGCCTAGAACTAGAAGATGAGATGGCTCAGTACTCCAAACGTGAAAGCAAGTTAGCGTATATACGGGCAAGCAGTAACCCAAGCGTCGGCATTCTCAGCACGCGCGCGCGAAAAACTTACCACGGCATAGGCGCGCGAATAGCGGTAACGAGCGCCAGGCAAAAAAATTTAAGCATCACGCGCGGCAGTGAACCCAAACTAAAAAAGCAAAACAAAAAACGCGCCTAAACGCCACCTGCATGAGCGCCATGCAGTCAACCAAGTATCCAAGCCCGCCTAAATCAGTGCCATGCAAAACCAAGCAACCAGCTCGCCAGGATTCGAACCTGGGTCCTGCGGAATCCAGCCTCGGCGCACTAGCCACTTGAGTAAAGTGTTTTTCTCATATGGAAGGCTACGCGCAACCGTATTTAATAGGGGTAGACAGGGAAAAATACCTATAATTAATCACTTCTTGGTATGCTAAATGCTGTCCTAAACGTCATTTTTTACTAGTATGGAGGGAGTATGGTTGTGAACTTGTGATTCCTCTTAACATCAGTGAGGGCCTGCATATTTAAACAAAATATGGTTCCGAACTGGGGTAGTGCAGATCACATTTAGCGGTAAAACTTTCGGAATATTAGTTAATTGGTTCACTGACACTATACTAGTAATATTTTTGACAAACTTTGGAGATGTTTGGTAGCCTAATACCCAAAAAAGCGTGGGCAACTGGGGCATGTGCCACAGTTGATTTTTTCAGAACAACAAAAATATAATCCATTAAAACAGTCGCTAACGCTGTACATTTTAATTATTAGTGAAAACGAAATATACAATATTGTATACTGACATTAATGTTATTATCCCAATTAACAAAACACGAGACCACATTTTATACTGACACATGTGGCCTGTAGTAAGCCGAGCAGACCGAGCAAAGCGCCCCCACGTAAGCCGATTCGCGACGAGTTCATCACCGCGCCTCGGCACACGTGCCCCCACACCAATTAAAAGCTGCGCACGTCGGCCATCGTCGCCGTCGACCACCACCGAACCAAACCAAACCTCGCGCCATCGATCACCTCCACCTTCCATTAACTCAGCCGCCCCCCACCACGCCTCGCTCGATCGCTCGCCGCCGCCGCCGACGACGACCTTGCTCGCTTCTGCCGGCGGCGGAGGTAGTTGTTGAGATGGGGAACTGCCAGGCGGCCGACGCGGCGGCCGTCGTTATACAGCACCCGTCGTCGTCGTCGTCGTCGTCGTCGTCGTCCGGGAACGGAGGAGGCGGCGGCGGCGGCCGCGTCGAGCGCGCGTATGGCGCGGTCTCCGCGGCCGCCGTGATGGCCGCCAACCCCGGCCACTACGTCGCCGAGGTCGTTCGTCCCGTTGCCACCGCGCCGGCGGCGACGGCGGCGACGGCGTCGGCGCCTGCGGCGAGGCGGCGGCTGAAGCTGCTCCGGCCCGACGACACGCTAGTGCTCGGCGGCGTCTACCGCCTCGTCACCTTCGAAGGTGCGTCTACACTACAGCCTCTTCTTGCATGCGTCTCCCGCCGCCGGCGAGCTTGATACTCACACGGATGACGGATCAATGGCGATGATCATCTGCAGATGTGCTGAAGCAGTTCGTGTCGAAGCGGAACGCCACGATGAGCCGCGCCACGATCGCCACCGCTGCCGAGGACGACGATGGTCACCGGCGACAGGGTCACCGCGGCGGCGAGGCGGCAGCGGCGGCGCCAGCGAAGGTACGACCATATCCAAGCATTCTTACGTGTAGAGATGAGATGAGATGAGATGACGCGTATGGTGTACGAGTTCTTGGTCAGCCATTAATGGCGATTGGTGCGTCACAAGGAACAACCGAGACGAACGCTATAATTAGCGCGACTTGTTGGGAGCTGTACGAGCATTGGTTGCGAGCTTGGTGACGTGAGTTAATTAATTAATTAGCGAAACATTTCCATCGTTTTTTTTAATTTCCCTTTTGAGGTAGACGACATGTCGGCATATGCATATCATCCTTCGTTTTTAGGTAGGACTGTAGCGTCCCGAAGTACTCAAATTAACCTACTACAGCGAACACTGCACATTTGAAAGTCAATATCAGAGCTTGATATATGTGTATGAAAAATAACAGCCAAAATAAATTGCATCTTGTTATATCAGGAAGACCGTAAAGTCAAAATGTAAAATTAAAAAGACAACAGATGAATAATTTTCTACAAGTTTTATTGTCGTGATATAGTATGAAGAATACATAATAAACAAATTCTAGGTTGATACATATATGCTAAGAATATAAAGCTTTTTAGTATCAGACACACTTATTGAAAAATCTGTTTTGGAATATAAGAATTTTTTTAGTGTTGGACATAGTCATTAAGAAAGTACGTGATCAACCTATAACATGTTTTTTTTTTAATTTCAATTATATAAAAGACCCATACTATTATACACGTACTCCACAGTAAACAATCGTTTAGGCTGAGTTCGTTTTGAGGAGATGGGAACAAATCTCCTGCGCACGGAAAACGGAGCGATCCATCAGTATGTGATTAATTAAATATTAGCTATCTTTTTGTAAAAATGGATCAATATGATTTTTTTAAGCAACATTCATATAGAAATTATTTTGTAAAAAAAACGCACCATTTAGTAGTTTGAAAAGCGTGCGTGGAGAACACGGCGGGGAGGAGTTGGGAACATAGCCACTATATTATTGCATACACCACTTATTTTAATTATTAGTTCAGTTTATTTCTTGAAATATTTAATTTATTCCTATAATTAAATACTCCCTCTGTCCTATAATATAAGGGATTTTGAGTTTTTGCTTGCAAAGTTTGGCCACTCGTCTTATTCAAAGTTTTTTGAAATTATTATTTATTTTATTTGTGACTTACTTTATTATCTACAGTATTTTAAGCACAACTTTTTATTTTTTATATTTGTAAAAAAAATTGAATAATACGAGTGGTTAAACGTTATAAGAAAAAAAAACTCAAAATCCCTTATATTGTGGGACGGAGGGAGTAGATAATATGTAATCCGCTCAAGAAGCTATATCAAACTCAGCCGCTTTATATGCCTCCAAAATCAACATTAGTTTGTTTTACATGTTGAGTGGCCCAACATACATCTTACTTGTACTTTCATCATTGTTTTATGTATTAAAAAACCCCTAATAGATGATGGTTGGGAACCTACATAGGTAGCAAATTTTCTAACCGGTGCCCCGCTATGCGGCACTGATAACAAGCATCATGCACAATATATCATTTATCGTAAGACATATATGGGGTAGCAAATCGAGCATCATACGGCAAATCTCGACTTCTTTTCAATAGATAGAGAAGCACCAAAATTAAGTAGTAAATGAAAATCAAAAACGAATCAACCACATCATACGAATGAACTGCAGACACACGTCACTAACCCAAAGTCAAATGTTAAACCATTAAATTATTACTACTAGCTAGCTCAGTACTCCACATGACACACACTAACAATCCTACTCAATGTATACACAGGTGGCGGCCCAGTCTCGTCAAGAGAATCCATCCAGCCCAAGCCCGACCGATGAGGCCCGGCCTGAGCCTGAACCCGAGCCCGAGCCCGATCTCGTAGCGACGGCCATGGCGCTCGGCGGGAGGATGAGCCTCTCCCGGCACGGGCAGTGGAGGCCGGCGCTGCCGAGCATCGCCGAAGGGAGCGTCCTGTGCTTTTAAGGGAGGGAGATGGCTGACCAAGTGACCATATGTTCAAAATATGTTACACTCTGATCTGCAGAGCTTGCTCACTGCAGCCGTGGGTTATATTAGCTGTCGTGTTATACGAGAGTCTCTGCATATATTTTTCTGCCCTGTTCTGTTTGAATTTGAATCGGAGTTTGTCAGTTTGAATTAGTCATGGCATACGTAGGAGATAATTGTTTTTTTGTGACGGTACGTTTAACACACATGTATGGACCTACTTCTTGACTTGTAATTTTATTTTATTTTGTCGTCACCCATCGATCTGTGCCTAATCTCGTCGCAGAATATGTAGCTCAATGATGGGCTGATCTGTAATTTATGGGTATGTTCGATAGGCTATTGCTGCAGCATTCTAGGCTGTGCTGCAAGTTTTGCCTTGGGATAGCAACGGGGCGGGTTTGGGGCTGGGTTGGCTTGGAACAGCCCCGTCCCCGACCCCCGAACTCTCCACCCGCCCCCGCCCCCGCCCCCGCCCCTGCCCCCAGCCTCTCTAGGCCTCACAACCCGACCGGGGCTCCGCATTGAGTAACAACTCCATCCAGTCGTCTGTGCACCGCTGCCATCTCTCTGCACGCCGTCGTCGCCGTGCCTGTGCGCCTATGTGCAGCCGCCGCGCCTGGGGCCCACCGTCGTGCCTTTGCACTGCGCCGTGCGTTGCCCGTGCACCGTCCCGCATGCTGCCGCCGGAGGAGAGGGGCATGCGACCGGAGTCCAGAGGGGAAAGGAGGGGAGGGGACTGTGAAGAGGGCAACCAGAGGGAGAGGGGACTGGGGAGAGCGGTGAGTCGGCGAGATCCGAACTTCAGATTCGAAGTCTGCGCGTGAGCGCCGAGCGCGTATGCGGCTGTGTACGGCGCGCCTGTGCTGTGCGGCGGCGTGGTGGGTGGTGGGAGGGGAGGTCTGGTTGGGGTAGGTTAGGTTTTTTTTTCCTTAAATATGTTGATTCTAGTGGGCTTCTTGGGCCTGTATTCCTGTAATGGGCTACATTTTAAGAGTTAATATACCTCTCCAGAGGCCCACGGGGTCACCCACGGGTGGAATGTTCTCCCCATCCCCTCACCCGCAAAATGCGGGGCCCCTGCCCCGATGGACCCGCGGGGCAGAAATGTCACCCGCCCCCGCCTCCGTAGGGGTGGGTCCTCGCAGGGAACCCGCCCTGTGAAGAAAATTGCCATCCCTGGTTTAGCCATTCGGCTTCAGGAAACAGCTGCTAGCTACTGGATGGCTGTATAGTAACTCCTATAGTGGCTGGCTAGCTGGCTACAGCGTAGCCGTAAGGCTGCTGCAGCTAGATCTTTAGAACAAAGGGTTATGGATTTTCTACATCTAGTTACTAAGCCATCCATCATTTGCACGTGACTTAAATAGTTACAGAAAAAATTAAAAATTTAATAACATTAATTGAGATGATCCATAACTAGAGAAACAAAAATAATAAAATCGGGTAAATAGTACTTGTAAAGTTGCTACCCACTAATACTCCTAAAACACAACCTGTAAATATGCCACGTCATCACGTACTAGCAACTATTACTCTAAAGCATTACATGATTAATGCTGATCACAATTAGAACCAACTGTAACTTTCTTACTCCTTTCCATCCCACCCACTGAGGCATGCACATGTTTTAAGGTTTAAGTCCTTAAATATTTAACCAATAAATAGTGTGGAGATTATGGGTATCCCATACCCACACGGCATGGTTATCCGACTAGTCATAGGGGATAGCTTATATCTATGGAATATGTAACAGATCATGACTTGGATATTACGTTTCCTTTTATATTATGGAGCGGCCTAAAGTCCTGATTTGATAATATTGTACAATAGATTTAGGAAACCGATACCGTATTGGTTAAGATTTCTATCTTGTAATCCTGCCCCCCCATCCTATATAAGGTGTGCAGGAGGCCCTCTAGGGGGCATGAGCACAACTAGATCGTCAGATCTATACTACACCCGGCGGATTCAAATCCCCAAACAGGAGTAAGGTATTACCTCTCATTGAGAGGGCCTGAACCTGTCTAAATCCTTGTCTCTGCATCCATCCACTTTTAGGTCTCGTGCACTACCCCTTTTATTATTGCCGAATTCATGTTTCGACAGTTGGCGCGCTAGGTAGGGGTGCGTCGAGTTTCCCGTCGAAAAGTGTGATGGAATCAATTTCTCCGGTATCATATTTGTTCAAGCAGCCTAGATTCTACCGCTGCTGGCATCATCTTCTGATCAAATCAATCTACGAAGAGATATTGGGTTTGTCGTTCCAATTTAACTCTCAATAGATTAATTTTTAATTATAGATTGATCTACGTACTCGGGTATTATTTTTGTTACCAGTGTCGTCGTCGTTGCCGAGCAACAATATCAGCCTCCTCCCAGTGCAAATCCGAGCCCACACAGTGCGAGTTCGGATCTACGCCTACACCGGGAACCACTCGGCGACCACGTGACATGCTAAAGCTCGTAGGCCTGGATCGGTTGCTGCCTTGCTGCTACCTGCAACTCAGTACACAGGAGATTTGGCCATGCTGCATGCCGAGCGAGAAAGCACATGCCTGCATGTTGCCTTTTGCATGTCACCTGATGATTGTTCTCGCCGGGATTCGTGCCGTATATTGGCCTGAGTGCACATCTCCTGACCGTTTCATAATTTTCCATATTTAGATTGATTTCTAATCTCAAATTAATCTCTCGTTGTTTTTTTTTGTTGTTGTTCGCATATAATTACGCGGCACTATTGAGGCGATTAATGCTGGTCATGGACTCGAGGCGTCTCAGCTTTCCGGTCGATCAGCCGCGAGTCCATTCCGCCGGCTTGTCGTCGCCACCGCCATTGCTGATAGCAACAACGACTTCACCGCCGGCTTGCCTCCGTCGCCGCCGATTGGTGTCTCCGCCTACACGGCTAGCCTGTTATGCCGCCGTCGTTGGGCGTCTACGGCTTCACCGCCGGCTCGCTTCCGTCGCCGCCGACTGGTGTCACCGCCTGCACGGGTGGCCTATTATGCCGCTGTTGTTGGGCGTCTACAACTTCATTGCCGGCCTGCCTCCGTCGCCGCCGACTAGTGTCCTCGCCTATATGGTTGGTTGGTCACACCACCGTTTATGGGCGTCCGCGTCTTCACCGACCGACTGGCCTTCGCCGCCGCCGACTGGTGTCTCTGCCTACATGGCTAGCCTATTATGCCGCCGTTGGTGGGCATCTTCGCTTTCACCGTCGACCGCCTTCGTCGCCGCCGACTAGTGTCTTCATTGTTATTGATGGACGACTTTCTTCCCACATTGGCCACCTCTGCCATCACCAAGGGGAATATTACAAAGCTAAGTCATCATTAATTTTCTTTATATGATATTTTCCTTTCCTTCTGCCTCACTACATCAACTGTTTCGCCGTTGACTAGTGAGTCGGGGGCTACAGATGTTATGTAATATTTTTAAACAATTTTCATAATATCTATCTTGATTGCTTGTGAAATAATCCGAGTAACAATAAAGTTCCTATCGAGTTATGGAGTTCTATCTTCCTATGCTTTCCGTTTGGTTTGCCGATGGATAGTTGTTTTTGGGCCGATTCCTAGCACCCGGGGGCTCGTTGGATGGACCGAGTAACGCAAGGTGCTAAGTATTATTCGGAATAAATCAAAAGCATAGAGATAAGATAAATTTATTTTCTTCTCTTAACAATTGCAAAAGTACTCGAGTAGTAAATTCAGATTCGTGAAACTTTTGTTCCATTATTGACGAACTCATGTCACTCATATGCATGTTTGGGAAGTGCCTAGGCTGACTCCCGGTGCTTGGGGGCAATGACTAGTCGGACAGAGCGTTTAAACGTAATGAGTCATCTGCTCGGGGAAATCAAAATTGACAAGAGAAGAAAAACATATTCACAAACGTTTTAAAATGTTTGAATTTTCCTCGAGTATTATATTTATATCAGATACTACTCATCCTATATGTTTGTTCTGTAGGATCCAGATCCTGATAGGCACAAAAGGGATTCATGGCTTTAAGCTTATCTCTTACGCTCTAGGAATGGATCAGTCAGAACATCACCACCGGCTTGCCGTCGTCGCCGCCGACTGGTGTTTCCGCCTGCACGGCTGGCCTGTCATGCCGCCATTGTTGGGCGTCTACGTCTTCACCGACCGGCTTGCCCTCGTCCGCCGCCGACTAGTGTTTCCGCCTGCACGGCTGGCCTATTATGCCGCCGTTGTTGGGCGTCTACGTCTTCACCGACCGGCCGCCTCGTCCGCCGCCGACTGGTGTTTCTGCCTGCACGGCTGGCCTATTATGCCGCCGTTGTTGGGCGTCTACGACTTCACCGACCGGCCGCCTCGTCCGCCGCCGACTGGTGTTTCCGCCTGCACGACTGGCCTATTATGCCGCCTTTGTTGGGCGTCTACCTCTTCACCGACTGGCCGCCTCGTCCGCCGCCAACTGGTGTTTCCGCCTGCACGGCTGGCCTATTATGACGCCAACTGATGCTACCTTCTTCACGGCCGGCTACGTCGCCGTCACCGCTAATAGGCGTCATCATCTTCAACGCAAGCTGTCTACGTCTGCTGCCGACTAGTTTATTCACTTCCATGGCTACATGATTCTACCAGTGTTGATTGGCCTTATCTTGTTCACCGCCGGTCATCTCGTCTGCTGTTGACTAGTGCCCTCGCCTCTATGTCCGGTTTATACCACTACCACTACTGATGGACATCATCGTCTTCCGTCGCCGACTGGTGCTTTTATCTTCACAACTGCGCGTCTTCACCACCGGTTTGCTTCTGTTGCCGCCGACTCGTGTTCACTTCATCACAGCTATGCAACTTTGTCACCATGGTGAAGCGACTTCATCTATATTATCTTCGGCACCGGCAAACCTAATTGCCGCTACTTCGCAAGTTTTGCTACTTCACCAACCACGACGTCTACAAGAGCTTCGACATCTCGGCATGCACTTCCATATTCGATGTCGTGTTATTCTACTACAACAAGTGGTGTTCCAATCTTCAATATTTCTACTCGGACATCTTCAAACGTATCTTCACTCAACTGATGGCTACTCGATGACATGAAGCTACAGTTCTCGACTCTATGTTCAGTTGTTTCTCAACTAACCAAAGAGTCGGGGGCTACACAAATACCAGACTCAAAATTTGACAAGCTTTATGTCAAGACAAAGCAATCAATCAGCCAATGAGTTCTATAGAATCTACCTCGGGAGTCATCAGTTTCGTCTTCGCTTCAGAGCAGACG